AAATGATATGTCAAAATAAGAGTTAAAAAAAAACTTTTGTAAAATAGTTTGGCTACAGAGGGGTAAAGTGTACACATAATATTGCTAGATGAATTATCTAAATAAGATCCTGATAATATACTATTTTTTACATGTATAGTATTAATATGATTTATATCTAATACTTTTACAGATTCATAATCACCTGCAGTATATAATTTACTTTCAAAACTGAAAAGATTTCTGATTGAATTTGAAATTGTAAAATCAACTGCAAAATTTGTTGCAACAATTATTGTAACTTTAAATGTTGTTGTATTTCCTACAAAAGTAATTGAATTCATAGGAAGCATCTAATTCTTTTTGCATCCAGTCATTGATCGAAGTAAGTTCATAGACCCCTTCTGGAATATTACGATTAACTGGCGATGGTTTTTTAGTAGTTGCATCATAAATAGTATGAGTAAATTTATTGTTGTTTAAAGTAATATTATTAAGTAAATGATATGTTTCTAAGCTTATTAATGCCATTTCATACTCTTTTTTTGCATCAAGTGGAATAGCTGGTAAAAACTTTCTTCTTATTGTTGAAGTAACTCCTCCAATACATATATCCATTTTTTATATTTATATATATATTTTTTAATATCATTTTTAAATATAAAAAAAATTAATTAACTTTGCTGCTTTACTTCTCTTAGATGAAATTGTATTGTTATGCTTCCATTACTAAAATCTATAGAACTTTTATCATCATCTATTACTTCAACTTTCATTTCTGAAAGTGTTTTTGTTTTTAATGGAAAATAACTTCTATGATTTGGTTCTTCAAAAAGACTTACACCTGATTGTCTAGTCATTGGTAGAAATGAATATATTACACTAGTGTTACTACCATATATTTTTATTCCATCTACAATATTATTTAAAATATAATAACACATTATTTTTGATGAAATTTTATAGTTAACATATTCTAATTTAATTAAAGCCATTTCATACTTTTTTGTTTCATCTAATTGAATATCTTTTTCATGATATTTAGTTTTAAGAATATTTGATCCATTAATATTATTTAATTGAACATATTTAGATTTTACATATGGCATTTTATATAATCACAAATTTATTTAACATATATTACTTATCTTTACTTTTTAAATCACTGCGTGATCCTTTCTGGTACTGAATATACAACTGCATCTTCTAATTTTACTTGTATAGATTGAACCGTTGAGCCTATATAAACACCTTCAATTCTTAAACACCCTTTAATATAACATCTTTTTTAAATAAGATTATGTCCTGAAATTTCATTATCATCTGCAGATCTGAATACATTATCCATCTTCAGATCTTCTGTTGGTATTTTAGCAAATATAACAGGATGTTTATTATCATTATATTTTAGAATTTTTAAGTTGTCAGAACTAAAATGTTTCACTTGTTTTTCTTTGACTTTATCTCTACAAAATTTCTCAATAGATTGAATCATTGCAATAAATTTTTCTTCTTCTTCTTTCCTTTCATCTCATTAAAACATACAAGTGAAATTAAATATCCTGTAAGTTTCTTCGTTTTTAAATCTCTATTTTCACAGACTCCATATGAAAATAATTTAGGTGTTTCTACTTATAAAAATATTTCGCCTTTATAACCAATTCTCATTTTTTGATAATGAGCAGGTTTATAAAAATTAATGACTTCACTAGCACATAATTTTGTCTCATCAAAGTTTTCAATATCTACATATGACATTTTTTATATACAAGAAAAATTATTTATATCATTTTAATTTTTTATATTATTATGTTGTGAAATGATATAAATAAATAAGCATCTTTATAAAATGAATAAAATGTTTCTGAATATTGAATATAGTAAAATAAAAAAACAGATTTAATATATAATCAGAATTTAGATCATACTCCATCTTTTGTTAATAGTAAAAAATAGAGTATTTGCACAGCAAGATTTTGTAGTAAAATCAAATTCATATAATAACATTTCTTTAAAGTGCGGAGATAATGTAGATAAAGTGTATGTATCACTTGCGCTTGCAGAAAAATATAAGCCATATTTAGACTTACTAAGTTCAGTAGTAGCAGAGTCTACTAATGATATTATAATAACTTTATATAATAATGGTAAAAAAGATATAAATATTAAAAAAGGAGATTTTTTATTATATATTTTATCTTATAATGGAATTATAAGTATAATCAGTTATATATCTAATTCTTATGGATCCAATGGATCTAGCGAAGCCAGGGTCCTTTCAGGAGCTAAAAATGTAAAACTAAAAGAAGAACTACAAAGTGATAAAGACTCTGTTAAATCTATATTATCAAGTATAGGAGAATTAATTACTGATAAAATATATGATGAAGATAATACTAAATCTGACAAAGATAAAGACAGTGATAGATCACAAAGTAATCAAGACTCTGTTAAATCTATATTTAACTTTGTTAAATAAAGGTATAGGAGATTTAATTATCATAAATAAAACTTAATAAAATAACTTAAAATAAATTTTTCTTTATAAAAAGAATGGAATATAATAGGGACTATTATAACAAAGAATGTAAAAATAAAGAATGTAAAAGTATTTATCCAGATCTTAGCCAGTTTAGAGTTGATCCAACTGCACCACCACTATCTATAGATCAGCAATATCGATTAGATAAGATAAGTGAAATTTAAAGTAAAACAGAATGCGAAAGAAAAAGAAGAGCTATTTTGAGTTAAAAGTATCATAGAGCTGTGAGAATCATTTCAGCAATTGATAATTCATTGCTAGCTACTACTATGACATTAGAAGCTGTTAGTATAGGTCTTTCAGCAACTATAATAGCAGCAACAGTTGCTATTACACTTGAAGGAGCTGCATTAAGTGCAGGTGTATTATCAGCAGAATAAATAATAATTAAATCATAATATATGTTCAAGTAAAACATATATTATGTTCAAGGAAAACATGATAACGCGTTACTACTTATAATTTATGCGAAATAAATTTAAAAAAAATGTTATGTATATAAAAATGTCGTTTTTAGATATTGTAGATCCGAAAAAAAGAAATGAAGCTTTTAAAGAGCTCGAAAGATTGAAAAAAAATATATATCAAGATGCAGTAAATAAAAAGCTTGGATATGATGATTTACAGCATGACTTAGGTAATTTATACAAACCTATTATCAATAGTCAATCTGGAATAAAAGAAAACTTAGCTAAATTAGAAAATAAAGCTGATTTAGCTATCACTCTATCAAATTATCCTGCAATAATGGATTTACCTGAAACTAAATCTAATACGAAACCTGATAGTAAAATAATTTTATTAGGAACTATAGCAACAAATTATTTAAAGTCAGCCTATAGTAATAAAAAGGCAGCAGATTTTACGTTTGGTATACACTCAAAAGATGGAAAATTGTATATAGGAAAAAAACCAATATTAATTAGTAATAAAGATATAACTATCAACGATAAAAAGTATATTGGAACTTCTGGTCTTTGGGAATTGTTAACAAAATCTAGTCCTGATAAAGATATATATAATGAAGATGATCTCAAAAACTATAAAAATATATTAAAAGAAACAGATGCCATTTCTTCTAGTAAATATCCAGGAAAACCTAGATCATCTAGAAGTGAAAAATATAATAAGATAATAAAACCTATTTGGGAAGAGATAACTAGAAAATCTGGAAAAGGAGTTATTATTCTTCCTAGTGATCCAAATGAATTAGTTAAAATGCTTGCATTACGAATATCTGCATTTGAAGCAGGTAATACTGGGGCTAGAAATGAGGCTGTTGCTATTTGTGATGAATTATTACGTCAAGGAGAAATTGATTCTGAATATTATAAAGCATTACAGAACATTTTTAAATTAAATAAAAACAGTAGGTAAATAAAAATGTTAATTGTTGAGAAAAAAGTTTATAAAAACCATTTTGTAAGTGGAAGTGGTATAATTGATGATAATAATAATGTATATAATCGAGCAAAACCTTCAGATATTTTTAGAGCATTTTCTGGTATGAAGACTATGTTGACTAACCATTTTAGATATAAATAAGGGATCCACATTTATTAGATCCTTTCAGGATCCAGATTTATTAGATCCTTTCAGGATCCAGATTTATTAGATCCTTTCAGGATCCAGATTTATTAGAAATAAATTACTACTTATGAATCTCAAAGAGATTTAAATAAAAATAGTTAAGTATATATAAAAATATTGATTGTGAAAAAAAGAGTTTATAAAAAGCATTTTGTCGATGAAAGTGGTATATTTAGTCTTTTTAGAGGCTTACTTAATTATAGATCGATTAATAATACACTTAAAATATCACGTAATTTATCTAATAAAAACGTGATATCTTAAGTGATAAAAAAGTGATTTAGGAAAAACTGCAATAGATGCTGCAAAAGTAGCAGGTAAAGAACTAGCTACAAATGCAATCTCTACAGCTAAAGATATTATAGTAGAAAAAGGAAACAAGTTGATTAAAAAATCAAAGCTTAAACCTGAGAGTAAACAAGTACTTTCAAATTTAGTTGAATCTGGAGCTAATAATCTTGCTCAAAATCTAACTAATGAAGTCACAAAAAATATAAATAAATTGATGATGGGATCTGCAATACCATCTAAAAAATTAGGCCATTCAAACGCTATTAAACTGGAAGATTAGTAAAGAGAGGAAAAGGATTAAATAAAAAATTAAGCTATTCAAACGCTATTAAACTGAAAGAATTAGTAAAGATGAGAAGAGGATTAAAAATGGCATAGTTTTCAGTAATATATTTTATAAAATTTTTATTAATAAAAAATTAATGAAAATGAATTAAAAAAAAATGTTATATATATAAAAATGGCAGATTATAAAAGTTTAAATTTAACAGAGCAACCCTTTATTGATGAAAGTATTTCTAGATTTCAATTTGGAGAATATTCTCCACCAACTGGTACAAATATAAATGATACAGTACCAATAAAAATTAATATTGAGATGACAGATTCATTTTTTTTACCATCTAAAGCTTATTTACAAGTTGAAGGAAGACTTCAAGCAGCAAGTGGTGCATTCTATGCTAAGACAGATGTAGTTACACTTACACACAATGGAATTATGGATTTATTTGATAGAATGGCATATGATTTATCTGGCCAGAACATAGAAACAGTAAATAATTTAGGGCAAGCAACTACAATGTTAGGAATGCTTAACTATTTAAACGACTTCCAAATAGCGAAAGGATTAAATCAACTATGGTACAAAGATACTGTAACAGATGCAAATTTGACTACTAATGTTGGATTTACAGTGAGAAAATCATACATTATTCAGAAACCTACTACAAGAGATACATTTTCGTTTATTATACCTTTAAAGCATATTTTCGGATTCTGTGATGATTATACTAAAGTACTTTACGGATTTAAGCATACGTCAACTTTACAAAGAAAAAATGACAATGATGCTATTTTACGATCTACTGCAGCAGCTATAGGAAAAAAAAATATTACAAAAGTATCATTATGGATGCCTTATATCACACCATCAGATACAGAGAGACTTAATCTTGATACGATTATTAGAGAAAAAATCCAGTAGCTTTTTATTCTAGATCGTGTGAAACTACTACACCTCAAACAACAACTAAAATGACTTGGAAACTTGGTGTTAAAAGTGATGAAAAACCTAGATATGTTATCGTAGGATTCCAAACAAATAGAGATAATGATCAATCTTCAATATTCAATCATTGTAACTTGAAAAATATGCAAGTCATGATTAATAATGTAAGATTTCCTGAAGTTGATTATGAACTATCATTTCCAAATCAAAAATTTTCATGAGCTTATAGAGATGCATCTACTTTCAAAGAAAATTTTTATGGAGCAAATGAAATCATTTCAAATTGTAATATAACACCTTCAGACTATAAAGATTTATATACACTTATGGTTTTCGATTTAAGGAAACAATCTGAAAGATTAAAACTTTCAGTATCAGATATTCAAGTTATAGCATACTTTAGTGAAAATGTTCCAGACGGGACTGAAGCATTTGCTGTTGTCATATCAGAAAGATTAGGTAAACTAAAGTCTAATGGAGATAGATTTAACTTCGAATATTAGAAACAGAAAATTATAGTAAAATGTGCAATTAAAATATATTTTTTAAAAAGACATAAATAATTTTCTTGACATAATAAAAAAAAATGGAAAACGAAATGCAAAACGAATTAATTAATTCTTATAAAAAGTTAGAAGAATTAAATTTAGAATTAAGATTGAAAAATGAAATATTAAGTGATTTAAAATTTGAAGAATATCGGATAGATTTGAGTTTAAATCAAATAGAAGATTTTACATCTGATGCAATTTCAATTATAAAAGATGATGACGAATTAATTTCAAGATTAGAAGAATTAAGATTAGAAAGATTAAGCTTAGAAAATAGTTCAGAAAAAATAGAATTAAAAATAGCAGACTTGAAGAATAGAAGAATTAAAATTAGAATAAAGATCAGAAGAATTAAAATCAGAGCTATTAATAGGGAAGAAAATATTAAAAAAAGAAACCAAAAAATGCGGAATAAAAGATAGATTTAGATTAATGTCATATCTAATATTTATTAGGAAAGCATCAGAAATTGAAAAATATGATAAAGAATTAAAAAAATATATATGTTGAGAAACTGATTAAAAAAAGAATAGATAAATTAAGATTTGAAGATGAAGTGTTAGAAGAATTAGAAGAAAGATTTAATTCAAGATCAGAACTAGTGTTTGAAAAAGAAAGATTAGAATTAAAAAGTTCAGAAACCTTTTCTAGAATACTAGAAAAAAGATTAGAACTAGAAACGTTAAAAGACTATTCTGGAATAAAAGAATTAAGATCAGAACTCAGTTCAAAAGATTTTTCTAAACTACTAGAAACAAGTTCAGAATTAGAAAGATTAGATGATGATTTAAAACTATTAGTAAATACAGGATTAGAATTATGAAGATTATATGACGATTTGCAAAGATTTAAATATACAATAAATTTTGAAAAAAAAAATACAAGAAAAACATAACAATTTAAATTATTTGAAAGTAATTTAAATTAATTTTTTTTGTATAATAAAAATGAGTGATAAAATAAAATATACAAAAAAGTATTTATTAAAATTACTAAAAGAAAATAATATACAACAAACACCTAAAGATCACATTGCATTAGTTATGATTGCTATGGATAATAATTTAATTGATAAAGAATCTATACAATCAAATATCATTACTAAAAAACAAAAAAAAAACAAAGATTGAAAAAGTAAAATAAGTTAAAAAAGAAAAAGTAAAAAATGAGAAAAGACCTGTAGGAAGACCTAGAATTTTTCCTATAAAAGAAAAAAAAGAAGGAGATCCTAAATATGACAGACTAACAAAAAATTAGAACAAATCCAACATCTATTAAACTAACTAATGTAGAAACAGGAGAGTTAAAATATACAATTCTATATATGATTATATCAGAAAAAAAAAACATGGATATAGATAATTATATTTGCGTAATGGAAAAGTTGAAAATGGTATAAAAACAGAATTAATAAAATCTAAATATGATGAAAAAGAAAATATAGAATAATTTATTTGAAAAAATTATTTTTATAGATACAAAAAGTCTACAAAAATATGAAAAAGCAATTTTTTTATTTTAAAAAGTTCTTGTAAAGAAATTAAAATAAAAAAGTTTTTTTATTTCAATTTCTTTACAAGAAAAATTGAAAAACTGAAAATGATGTAAATAATTTTCTTTTGTATACAAAAATGGAAAATATAAAATTAACAGAATTGAGAAAAATTTCAAAAGAGCGAAAAATCAAGTACTACTATAGAATGAGAAAAGCAGATCTTTTAAGAGAATTTGATCATAAAAGGATCCAGACTTCTTTAGGACAAAGATCACACATTTTAGACGAACCTATTCCAGAACACATAGTAAATACAAATAATAAGTAATTATACACAAAAGTCATAAATATAGGTGCTCTAAGTTTTTACCTTAATTTTGAAATACTGTATAATAGATTTGCAGCTCGACAGTCAGGGCCAAATGTGGTACTTGGAATAGATAAATTAAAATTTTTAAGAACATTACGAGCTACATTAGCAATTCCATTAAGTGGATGGAGATGACAGTGCAGCTCAAGCAAATGTTTTTCAAAAATAGAGTTAAGTTTAATCACTGTTAAATTGTTGGCAGAAACTCTGTCTATTAAAGTGCATAAGAGAAAGCTGAATTTTTTTTTAATTTCTGTAGAATCAATACACTTAAAAGTCGCATTTGTTGTTGCAACATTAAATGTTTCAAGAATACGCTCGACATAATCATCAGCACGACCACCAGGAACCTCTGCTACACTGACAGTTAAAATTGTCTTCAAATGCCAGTGTAAAACCTTCACTGTGTAAAATAGTTTCTGCAACTTGTAGAGTAGCTAATATCCCCAACTCACGACCAATCTGAGAAATTGTTGACGGTGTTGGTATATCATTTATATAATAATTTGTGAAAAGTGATACACACGATTGTATTCATTTAGAAACACTGTCAAGAGAAACATTGCTTTCAAGACACCTGTAAATAACAGGTGTTCACTTGAAATCCGGACTGACTTTAGGTCAATATAAATCTGACATAATGTATTGCAATTGTACCATGTGATACATTATTTTAAAGCGTTTAAATTTAGCTTTAATATGCTACATTTATATTTAGATTGAATGATTATTCAAAAAATGAAACCTAAACAAGACGACACTCGAAAACGTGTGTACAACTTCTATATTGAAAATAAAGAAAAAGGCAAAAAGTACACCGTAGATCATTTTGAAAAAGAAAAAATTGCCAGATCGACCATCTATGATATAATTAAACGTGCTGATGACGATTCTGGATATCTTAGACGTCCTGGTTCAGGAAAAAAAGCTCTAAAAATGACCCAAAAAAAGTACAAGCGTTAAAATCAATGTTTGATCATCATGATGGCGTTTCTTATAGGAAAGCAGGTAGAAAATTTAGAATATCAGCTTCTTATGCCCATAAAATTATTCAGACAAAATCTAAGATCAAGAAAAGAAAGAAGAAAAAGATTCCACATCGAACTGATGATCAAAAACTGATGGCAAAAACAAAGTGTGATAGATTATATAGAGCTTTTAGCAAATTTGATTGGATCATTGATGATGGATCTTATTTTACTTTTTCTCATTCATTAATCAACGGAGACGATAACTTCTACACAAGTGACATAAACCTCTGCCCATCTAGCGTCTAATATTATACAAAGCGAAAGTATGAACCCAAGTTCCTGGTCTGGGTCAAAAATTCTAATCCGTCAAAGTGGTCTTGCAATCAATCAAAAAATCTACTTAGAAGATTGTATTAAAAAACGTCTTATTCCTTTTATTGAAGAGCATCATCAAGACAATTCGTATTTTGGCCAGATCTAGCGACGTCTCATTATGCTAAATCTGTTCAAGCTTATTTAAATGGACAAAACGTCAGATTTGTACCAAAATAATATAACCCTGCAAATGTGCCACAAGCAAGACCTATTGAGGATTTTTGGTCAATAATAAAAGGTTCAGTTTACAAGGATAATTGGCAAGCAGAAAATTTAGAACAACTAAGGAAAAGGATAGTGTATTGCTTCAGCAAAGTTGGTATCAATCTTGTACAAGAGTTTGCAAAGGATATTTTTTTCAAGAATTGATTCTATAAGAAGAAAAAATTTAATTGAAAATAAATAAAGTATCATATTATAGAAAAAGAAATGCTGATTTTAAATCATATTTTATTTTTTTAAGTTGATAAAAAATAAGGGAGTTATGACCCTTAAAAGTCAGTCCGGATTTCAAGTGAACACCCGTTAACAGCTCTCATGTTACAGTTATATTGTTTTTTATTGCACTTTGTTACAATATTAGTCTTGATTTTTTTTGTAGTTTTATCTTTCTCAGCTAACAAACTTTTTATTATAACATCTTTGTTTTTGCTTTCAAGTGATAGGTTTTTGATAATGTCTTCTAAATTTATAATTTTTCGATTCATATCTACAATCTTAATTTGTGCTTTAACCAAATTATTTAATGTTCGTGTTTTTAAATGGAGTTTAAGAAAAGTTTTTTTTTGTTTTTTTATTTTCTATTTGGAGATTAATAAAGTCTTTTTTATATTTTAAAAATCTACTTTTATTTATAAGTTTTTTTGTTATAGTTGTTTTACATAATCTTTTATTATTTAAAATCTCTCTTTTTTTTATTAAGCATGCCAACTTGAGTTTTTTAATTACACTTTTCAGCTCTTTTAATTTCATATTTAAACAATCATGGGTTGTTTCTATTTTTAATTGCGAATAGTAATTTTGAGGACACTTGATGTTTGTATTTTCAGGTGGAATTGTATCATTAACAGTAGATAGTTGTGGCTGAGGAAATTTGAAATCTTGATAAAAAAAAATTTCTATTTTTGGCCAGTACGCATTTACTTTTTTTTTCAAAACCTTAACGCGTTTATTTAAAAGAAAAACCGAATTCTAAGTAAACCGAAGTTCTAAGT